GAGTTTAAAAATATATATGTTATGTTCTTTAGGTTTGTTATTGTTTTAGTGTTCATTACTGTTGAAATACTTTGTTGTCTGTAAACTGTAGCTCGCTCAAGGTTGCTCAATATACGACTTTTACATAATCCATGATCGGCAGCCGAGCATACCACACATTGTTCGGGTACAATGCGTGCCAGATCGAACAGGTATTTGGGTAATTGCGAGAAGAATGTTTCTTGTGGCGTAAAACAATATCATTATCGTACATCGCCGGCACTTTCTAGATAAATACAATGAGGGCGAACAATAACCTGTCCAGAATTACGTGTTTATAAGAAAAACAAATATCAACTTGTTGCCGTAACTACTTAGACTGTATATTTTTTATTTAAAATATATAATTTTGTACAAACATAAAGTCTAAAGTTACGGTAATATTCAAAATGTAAATTTGTAATTTCTGGAAAATGTATGCAGCTGGAAAAGCATCATTATTTTTTCGTAATTTACATTTTTTGCGAATGTTAGGTGTTTTATTACAGTTGTTTATTAAAGTTGGCTCGCAAAAATTTACATTTGAAATGTTGCAAATTTTAATTGAAAACAGAAAATCAAAACAATTGTAAAAATTCAATGGAATGTTAGCGAGTTGTTTTTCTAATTAGTAGTAAACAAACTAAAACAAACTTTGTTATGAATGGGTACTGAATTATTTTGTGCAACACATTTGTGCAAGATTTTTTTGCAAGGTTTTTGTAACTGTTGGAAGTAAGTTCTTAGCTCTCATGTAAAATCCATTGCTCTTGCAATTAGCTAACACGTGCATGTTTTAGGCGGCGGGGAAGTTCTCTATAAATTCGTTCTGCTGTCGTTGTTAAGACGTTATATTACCATGCTACTCTGTCACAACACAAGATCATTGATATCAACTCACTTTTCTATAATCTGATATCTTGCACTGTCAGTGAAATATCTCCACAAAGCTGTTAGCAGCAGGCGAGCATGATATTCAGTTTCGTGAAAAGTTAGGATTGGAATTATTCCATGAGAGTTTGCGTGATGCTGGATTTCTCTATATTCGTTTTGGGGATCACCTCGGCTCGCCGCAACTATCAATATGAATCCGACTAGATTGATCTAACTAGATCGATGTCGAAGTTCTTGAATCTAGTAATATAATGTTCCCGAATGCAATGAATTGAATGTACAGCAGAATGTACTTTAATAAAGAACCACAGATGTTCCTGATACTTTTTAAAATATCATCGATTAACTATTGATGAGATTATGGCATATTATGAAGACCAAAATACACGAAATGTTATGAATAGTGGCGTCAAACTCCTAAATCGAGACTTGCCGAATCGAGTCGTCTGAGTTTGTCCATACCACTCGAATACGATAATCATCCACACAACCCGAGGATGACTCGAAGAGGGTGATTGGAGGCTCATTGATTCCAGTTTTCTCGATTTCTTCTATACGCCCTGAAAAAACTCATTTGTTCACCGGAACCGCCTCCCCAAGATTACTCAAAAACTGTAACAGTTTCTTGCCTCCGATCTTCTCATGGTCCAATCTTTGCCTGTTGGTAAGGTGTTGCACTTAATCTCACAACGTCTTGTACATAAAATAGTTATCGACCTAAATTTTACGAAACATCCAAGACCGAACCTGTCTCATGATTGATAGGCATCATTAACTCGAGAGAGAAGATTAAGAAATTAATTGCATGGATTAATGATTAACGATTGCAAATTTGTAGAAAAGAGTAATAAAGGGCAATACATCACTATATAATACTAACACAAAAGTAGCTATATAACTAATTAATTAAAATTCAAAAATTACCATTATTATTAAAATTAATGGGAAATTCCTGCGGTGTGTGCAAATATCCATAACGTGATCTATTTGTTATAGAGCTAAACATAAACATACATTTCCTTCATGGTCGTTAATTTTTATCTAGATTTATGATCTACATTCCGTTCCGTTTACTATTGCTGTTTTTCATATATTTTATATTCAATTTTAAAACATTAAATGGTACGCGATTTTAAAAAAGGAAACTGTTTGTACATAACGTTGATCATTTAACTCCTGTCAACGTAGCAATAAAATTTTAATTTACTACGCTTTTATTTGCAATAAACACGGGGATAACTATTGTTGAAGCTTAACGATATACACAATAGCTTGTCGTGTCGTCACAAGGCTCACCTTTACAATATGGTTTTAATGAATTTCAACAAAGTATTAAAAAAAAAATAAACTTTCCTTTTATTTCATCAACTTTTAACATCTCACATCGTAAATTTTTGATAAAAAACATACACCGATAAAAAAGAAATATTCAAAACAATTTCTCAGTGTGTAAGTCTCGTGGAATCTATAATAACAACATCAAGAATCATTAATAGCTACAACGCGATTAAATTATTAGAAATAATTATTGGGTGCGTATAGGAGAACAAACCGGTAAATTCACACATCGACCTCCAGTTACTACATAGTATCGTAGATAAATTATGATCGGGTACCTGTCGAGAAGCCAACAAGTGTATCGTCGAACGCGTAACTTTCAAATTGTGTAATTACCTCAACATGTAGACCTCAAATGATTATATAGTGTGATTCACATATATAATACATGTACAAAACACAAACGTTGTCAGGTTGTTAAAGTGTTTAGAATGTAAATTTTCGTATCTTTATCTTCATACATATCTCTTAGAAAGTGGCAATTCCTTGAAGATAATGTAAGAAGTCATTTTCTTTGATTTAACTATTTGTTGTTTGTATTTTAACAGATATCATTATAACTGTAGAATATAAAATGACTGTTAATTGCAACGTAATAAATCTTACTGTAACAAAAAAATTTTGTTGGAACTACTTGGACTCATACAATAATGATATGAGATACGATATATCAATTTTTCTGGTGTTACCGCAGTTGTGATCAATCATTGTGAAAAATAGTTGTAGAAATATGAGATCAGTTGGGACCATATTGACGAAGTAACTGATGACATAGTGGAAATTGGACAGCAGCCTGGTTTCGAAGAGTTTATGGGGGACCACATAGACAACGAATCAATGACTATCAAAAATGATTGAAAACGCGTCAAAATATACAATGAATATTATGGATGTTATGTTGGAGAAAATAGTAGTTTTTTGGTTAATTTTTCCTACTTGCTCACCTTGTATATCCTTATATTTAAGTACACGAATAAATTTTGCTTAATAAATAACTACAATGTTGTTTTTGAATGAAAATTATCATTTCCTCGCTGTAATATCGATAGCCAATTACAGTAAAACGGCTCGTGTCGGTACAATTTAATGCGACAAAACATATCCAAAAGGAATAAGAGGTTCCGCAGACCGCTTAGCAGCCGATCGAAAGCAATAAATCAATTAATTACTCTCTAAACGGTCCGAAAGGAATAGCGGTGCCGTTCTTGATGTTCTTGATTAACAGTCCGCGTTTCCGTAGAAGAGAGTCGCGTTTTGCACACAACTCGCAGCAGGCGGTTTGTTTAAATTAGAAATTAATAATCTGCGAGTATACGACCGCTCCTAGATGTCGCGTTGGAGTTTATGCATATCGTCGTAATTAAGTGGCAGTTCGCGAACTGTTGCGTAATAATCATCTTATCTAAATCGGAATCGCGACGGTTTTGCATTGATTTACGTCCATATACTTTGAATACTTAATTCCCATCTTGATATTTACGCCATAAGCAGCTATTGCAGTTGAACATTTCCTTAGGATGAACATACCAATAATATTTCAGCCATTCACCACATTCATGCAATATCGACTACCTTCCATTTATAGTGATTCTTAATCTAAACATTTTTTGAAATCAAGTTTCAAGAAAGATTTACCAGTATGAACAAGTTCACTTGTAACCGTTATTTGGGCCCATAGATCTCATTAACGCGATTTCTAGACTAAACATAAATATAGATGGCGACTGAGACCATAAAATCGCATCGATGTACACGTCAAAACGAACCGTGTTTATCAATTTAGCGAGTTCAGGACGTCTTTAAAACGACCTTAATGTATATAAAGTTCTGTCAAAACTCAAAGTAACCAAATTAATAACTGCCCTACTAAATAAACGTGTTAAATGCCAAGAATACGCGACAAACCGCCACAAAATGTGTCCCACTTCCTTGCATTTAACCGGACCACGAGGTTCACACCAAGTCGTGAGATGCTTGAGAAGTAATAAATGGTTGGGATATGAACGTACTTTAGAACGTCGTCGTTGCGAATTATATGTGGAAAACACACCGTCGGAGATTTACTGTTTTAAAGATCGCCAAATTACTCGTATTATTTCATCCGAGCTATAATGGAAATGTTTGGGATTCTAGAATTAACTAAAATAACAGATATTAATATTGTGTTAAACTAAGTTTTGTATATAAAGTAATTATTATAACTTGTTGCCAAAAAAATATGGATCTAAATTATTACCACTACTAACAAACATAGTGTTTACCTAATTAAGGCAATACAGGTGAACCGCAACGTTTTATTGAATCATTTACAACAATGATAATACAATAGACTACTTTACGACGTAGTCTACAAAAGGACTTTACCGTCTCATTATCTACAAATAATTACTTGGTATCCCTAATGACACCTCTAAACCTCTTCACACTCAATTCCTCGATTAACACGTCGTAAACGCGAGATATTTTATAACGTATCGTGTACCCCATTGGAGCACGGTGCTAAAACATTCCTTGAACCGACCAACAACAACATGGGATTATCCAGACTAATTATAGCAGCTATCGCTTAATAAGATTAATAATTAGATAAATGTTTTAGTCTCAGGGAGTTCCAAAGTTAATTTGCATAATTTTATCGTGGGAACGTTTATAAATAGAAACCATAGAATTTCCCTTTAAAGAATCTTCGACGTACACATGAATGATCGAACACCAAAGATAGTAAATTTAATATTTAATTAAAAACTTACTTATAGTTCCTTGAATATGATGTACATTCTGAATAAAGATAAATAGCACAAATGTACTAAGTCGTCCCTTGCTCTTGAGTTCCATTCCCTGCAACAAAATATTTTTATATAAATATGTAACTAAGTATTTGATAGTATATAATAATCAAAGATACTTTTATTAAATAAACCCTTCCCTATTAATTTCATTTGCTGACAGTAATCCAGGGTCAGGATGGTATAAAAGGAATATCGAAGTGTATAAAGCTTTCATGAAAGTACCAGATGTCCGTAGTTGCCTCGAAACGTTCGTTTTACTACTTAGTTATAACTCATTTCTTTAGAGAACACGTCGCTGATTAGCCAATGATTATTGCTACAAAAACGGCTCATAAAAGAGATTCATTAATCTAGCGGCAAGGCGGCATTAACCGCCATTTATTTCCAATACGGAGTTTCTTCACTCTAAGCCCCTGTACTTTGCTTTTTATACCGCGACTATCGTAATTGTCGTTTCCTCTTAACGAGAGGGAATTCCTTTTAACTCGCGCTCAAACAGTTCCTTCGAACAATTAGAAGTCCTGGCGTCGAAGAAAACACTCCCTGCTGAACGCTTTCCATAGAACTGAAGGAGAAGTAAGATGTGTATAGATACGGTTTCGGTAACAAGACGGCTTTAGATAGTTCCTCTATAGAAATAACTTTTATTTGAAGTGTTTTCTTCCATTTCTAATGGTTGGAAAGTAATCGAATAAAATTTCTTAGTGTTTCACCAATTTCTTTAGATAATTTATTTTATTACAAAGACTTATTTTCATTTAACTGAAAAAAAGAATAATGAAAGGGTAGCTAATAAAATATAAAAATCTGTTTTCGAATTCATGTAAATAGAATATATGATTAGATAAATGATAAACCAGCAATTCGAACAGCTAAATGATGTAAGTAAGAGGTCAGAAAAATATGGTAGATGACTCATCTATTGTGACACAGTTTGTAACAGTACTCCTCGTACAGGGTTACTCTAGCACGACGAGAGATGTCGTAGGTGATACATTACTTCCTTTCATCCATGCCAAATCATGATGAGACAGTCCCCAACGAATAAAGCATCAGCTTGGGAATCATGAGAGATGGTCTAGATTGGCAGAGCTACCTGGGGTGAAACATAGCCCTTCAGCTGCGTTGGCAAAACGTGTTTAGATATTGATAGATTAAGGATGATTATGTGGTTAATCGCTGGAAGAGATGCACGAGAATATTGAAATAGCTTTACTAAAGAAGGTTATGTGTATTCCGTTGATACTTCGATTGGAAAGTTAAGTTCTTGCGTGTAACTCTATCTTCACATCAGTGTATAAAGAAGATTTTGTTCACATTTCTTCTAGCGACATTAAGCAGAGCACTTTTTGTCATTAGGCATCTCAGACCGTCATCCATTCGGGTAACCTATTTATTATAGTGTTGCCACATGTAAAATGTAATATAATAAATAAATAAATTGAGATATGTACAATTCCTAGATTGAAATTGAGATGGATCTTTTCACTTATTTTTTCAAATTCAGCTCAACTCTAATGAACAGGTCCAATAACATCATATGAATAAAAATCGTCTAAATGAAACCTAATTAAATCTATATATCTAAAGAACCGTTTATCTTTAATGTGAATTCGTATAAACGGGGTCCGCGTTAATCCTAAAAATACTGCATTTCATTAACAATTTTCAAAAAGGAACATGTTATAGTGTTGTCACACAGTTTGGTCCTTTATCGCACATCTATATCTTGTTTTACTACGACAATTTCCTTTGAAGTACCTTGAAACTACTAATTACAATTGTTGCATATTCAAACGCTGAAATGAGCTATATTGTGTTTGGAGACTATCGTGCAAATAGGAAAGTTCCAGAACTACGTCGTCTTTATCTGACATGTTTGCCGGTCACCAACTAACTTGGCACGTGTTATTTTAGAAACACGATGAAAGCAAATTAGATTACTTGAGAAACTATCTTATGATATTGAAAAAATCACCGTATACATCGGAGGTAGAAGAACAACTTTTATTTATTAATGAGGGAGTATTAATCGGTCTAATTATTAAGTATTTTAATTTAATAAGTTTGAATGTGTACAGGAATTTCAGTTTTATTTAGTGTGCCTTATTTCCAACAATGCATGTTGTGAAAATTACCTAATTATACCTAATTACCTAATTACTTAAGCGAAATTTTCGCGTTTAATTTGATTACTGCACCGTGCAGTAATATTAGAAAACCGCAAGAATTTGATTATCCAGCATGAAAGTTCCATGCAGCATTTCAATTTGTAAACTTTGTAAATTAATTACAGATTTCAGCCACCATCAATAAAAACCTGTTAAATGTGTTTTAGTGGTTTCTTTTTTATATAAGTGTGAATAAAACTATTATTGCTCTCCAAATTGGAAATATTTGTAGTTTTTTTTCTGTATAAATCAAAAAGTAATAAAACTAAAACACACACAATCTGTTAAAGAAATATTTATGCAACGTATAACGTTTTGATGGAGAAATTTAAGGAGAACGTTAGCAAACAACGTTTAATGTGTGCTCTCCGTTAAAAGCTGCCGACGCAAAAGCTCTCACCATTAAAAATTGTTTGCCAATATTCGTTCAAACAAACGTCTCTTCGCGATCTCCAGGTATGATACATCCACTAATGTGTCTTCCTGCTATGCACCAGGAGAAGCAGATTTGCTTAGTCACCATGTTCTCCCGTTAATATAATAATCGTAAATATTAATGAAAATTATGTGTAAAAATTATTTTAAAGATAAATCTTAGGAAAAGATAATTAGCTTTCTCTACTATGGTGTATATAGAGATTGTAAAGTTCAGTTCGTGCAGAATCGGTGTTTACAATTAATTTCGCGTGTGTTGAACGATACAATGCCGGGCTGCGGAAGTTTGTGGTCGATTTGGCGAAAACGGTTTATGTACGTATGTGTGCGGCGCGGTCGTGTTCTTTTAATTGTGTTTAGGGGACCCGGCCGCGTATATTGGTGCTGAGGTTAATTTGCGGTTTTAAGTACACAGAAACGTAATTACATCTATAGGGCGGCTTGCTTTCCTGTAATTGGAAAACGCGTTACTGCGAACCGCGAAGCCATACGGATTTATTGTTTCAACAAGGCTGACCTTTAAACCTTACATTCTATCGAATTCGCATTTGTTTGTTTCAAATGTTTCAAATTGGATTATATATTTAGATTTAAACAATATTTATTTATAATGTTAGAATTAATTTAAAATAATTTAAATAAATTAAGTAAAAAAATTAATGAATAAAAAATCAAATAACCTATTAGTAACTTGTGCTAGAGTATTAAAAAGTTAAACGTTTACGGCTCGTACTCAGTTTTGATTTATATTAAGATCTTTTCTCATAATCCAGCAATAAACGACGACATAAAAACACGAAATAAACTTCATATTAAAAGATCGCGTCTTTAAAATGTTGTTCTTTACGAGCGCCATATCATTTGTTGATGGACGACGTGTCGGACGTTTTATAAATGTTAAGTAATTGTTATCATCTCGTAAAAACGTTACAACCTCCAAGTTAGAGGACGTTTTAAAAAATATTGGTATTGTTGAGCTATAGCCATAAATTTTCAACTAAATGTTTGCTTTTATTTTAATTTAACTAATGCTTCTAAATTAGAGACCATTGATTCTCATGAGTTGAGTTGAGAAATTCATATCTTCTATCATGTCAAATAAATAGTCACAGCTGTAGTAGTAGACGAGTCCAAAATTGCGTTCAAAGGCAGAAAATTTTCGAAATCCTATGAGTTGGAGTGATAATTGATAAAATCCGGGTATTAAAGCTATGCGAAGTCTGCCATCAGTTTTTATTGGTGTTAGCTGTAGTTTTCATCACACCATCAACGGATTACCTCCTCTAGTCAAAATTAACTCTACATCCCCGTACACAAACTTCCAGCGATTAATCACATGCAAAGTCCAACCACACCCAAAGACATTTCGGTAACATAGTCTCGCCAACTTCTCCTGCTTCCCAGTTAACACAGTACTTTGGTATTCCATGATTGTTTTGTTATGATATAGAGTGGATGTAACGAAGTCATGTATGGTATTTCCTTATACATAGTTTCAAACTATATGTCAAAATAGGTGTCGATGCGAGTACTACCAGACGCATCTGATATAGGCGGAAAGGCGCCGGAGTTTGATTTTTGGAATTAGAAAATTAAGGCTCTAAGCTTTATTAATTATTCCACATAAAATTCGAATTGGGCAAGTGTACAGAAATTGAAGCATTGTATGTCACGACGCACCGCGGCTAACAATTGTTTGGTAAAACTATGACTGACAATGAGAGTGATGCCAAAATTATTTTTCACATAAACTCCACAATTAGTGCAACGATTTCAAGTTCAGCAATCAATAAATAATCAACTGAAAAAAGTATTAGAATAGATCCATGTTTCCGACATACCGAAGATTATGCCACTTGGTTAATGTTTCATTTTTAATAACAGCGAAAAGGTAAAAGAGATAGGATTAAATAAGCTACTTTCACGAGTGCACTAATAATAATTACAGTAAACAGCGGAATTAATAAAAAATAAGCAAGTTACAGGAAACTCGTGTAAATAACATTAAAAGAAAAACAATGCATAATTGAATTAAATAAATCTAAATAAAAAAAAAATCAATGAAAAAATTTATATTTCAAGACAACAAAGAAAACCCTTCAAAACTAAGTTCTTTACTCATTTAGTATGCAGCTCTCGTGAAAAATGTTAGTTGTTTCATCTTTCGTGAATTGTAAATTCAGTCGCAAAGATTTTTCAGTACGGTATTCCAAAAATGTAACTTGGCCACGGTCACGTACCTCAGACTGCGATGCACCAATTGCGTGTAGTAGTCTCTCGAGACATATGTCGTCCTCAATGATGGACCATAGCAACCAACGTCAGCGTGGGAAGACACTATTTTTGAGGGTCGCAAAATTGTTCATTCACTCAGATTTACGTGTCGCGAGCCCGTCTCTCCATCCAAAACTCAGGTTGTAAATCAAATTTGCCGCGCGAGACG